TTCTAATTTAAATTTAGCCGATTTTACAGAAATATCACCTGTACATATAATAATTACCTGTCAAATATCATTTCTTCTAATATTATCAATCTAGTACTGTTTCTCACAAGGCACAAATTGTCATAATTGCCTTTGCGGGGTTCTGTCCGAGCTGACGCCACGTTAACAAAGGTGTGGATCGCTATCCACACCTTATCTGAGCTAGCCAACGTCAAGACAGGCACAGATAGCAGCTCACCACGTCAAGACAGGCGCGGATCACCATCTGCGCCTTCTAGGGGTTTCTGACACTCGTACGTAAGGCGCAGATAATGATCTGCTCCTTTCCATTAGTACCCCAACCGTCCACCTCCCACATTTATGGGAAATCCGTTTACCCCTCCCCTCTTCCTATAAATATCCCCTCCCCTCTTCCCCCAAACACAACATCCAAACCATACTCAAATATCAAATTCTCTCATTCTTCATAGTATCAATCTTTCTATTAAGAATATAAAATATTTTTATTATATTATAATAAATCAATAATTTATTATTTTATTAAATTTTATTATACTAACTTTTTATTAATTGTGTTTAGTTAGGAATCATATCTCGAGGTGTTTTGTCGATACGGTAACAATTTTAAATTCTATTGTAATTTTAATTATTGTTAATGTTTTATTTATTTAATTTGTTTAGTATTAGTTTATATTTTAATTTTTATAATATTTATTAAATTAGGAGAGAGACCATATATTATATCCATTCATTCGTAACCTTAAGTTAGAGATACCTACTTATGTATGGTCGTATTTAGTCGAGGTTGGATTCAGTTACATAGCAAAATATGAAGGGCACTGTAACCTTGAATCCAACCTTGTTTCTGCATTGGTTGAGAGGTGGAGACCAGAGGCACACATTCTACTGTAACCTTGAATCCAACCTTGTTTCTGCATTGGTTGAGAGGTGGAGACCAGAGGCACACATTCTATATTATGTGTGGAGAGTGCACAATTACGTTGGAGGATGTTTCCATGCATTTGGGGCGTCAGATAGGTGGGGATGTGATTTCTAGGGTGGCACATTGTGACTCGCATTCCTTGTGTAAGGAGTATCTTGGAGGTGTCCCGCCTAATTTCAACGGTGGTCGAATTTTATTAAATTGGTTGGATACAAATTTCAAACATTTGAGTGGTGATGCCTCTGAGCAGCAGATTAAAATGTATACACGGGCTTGCATATTACAGCTCATAGGAGGGATCTTGATGCCCGACAAATTACGCAACCAAATTCATTGTATGTGGTTGCGTCACCTCGTAGATTTTCATCATGCTGGCACACTCAGTTGGGGCTCTGCAATTTTGACATTTATGTATAGGGAAATATGTCAAGCTATTGACTATCGAAAAAATGCTATCAGCGGATGTCTCATTCTTCTCTAGTTTTCGGCGTGGTATTGCATGCCCTTTTTATGTCCGGTGGTGAAAATCCCGTTGGTCTTCCCTATATTATTGAGGTAATTTCAATACTAATTTCGTATATAAATAATTTTGTTGAGTATATAATTAAAATTATTTCATTGAATAGGTGGTCAAGTGCAAGAAAAGATCATCGAGATTTACCTGATGAATTGAAATAAATTAGGCTACTCATTGATTATAAGGCTGATACAAAGGTATGTATTTAAATATTATTATCTACTTTAATTATCATTATATAATTAGAATATTATTTTGATAAGAATTATATATATTTGTTTTAGTTTCAATGGGTTCATTATTCTACTGAAGAAATGATGATTTGCATCCCACATCACTTAAAAGGCCTATTAAAGGTCTGGATGGCGGTGGTTCCTCAGATATGTTATGCTATTGTCGAGTGGCATCCTACTGATCGCGTGCTCTACCAATCGATAGACGGGGTAAAAAAGAAGTCGACTGGCTGTTGAAGCACATTGAGTGTGTAATGATATGGGAGGATCGACGTGGGCACATTATCCGTACAGAACCCATTTATATGGATCATTACTCGGTTGTAGATGATTATTATGAGTGGTTCAACATGAATGGGAAACCGTTCATACTTTCTGAGAAAGCACGAGGTAGGAGCATTCATCGACATTGACACATACGTCCACCGTCACAACATCATCGTCCCCCGACTCGTGGACGGAGAGCAGACACTTTTGGCTCATCCTCAACTGTAGGACTGAAACCATCACAACAACCACCGTCTATACCGTTGTACATTCCGCAACTGTTTCAGATGGCACCGCAACCATATCGAATAGCACCATAGCCATTTCATATGCCACTGCAGCCAAGTCAGATGCCACCACTTCTATACCAAATGTCGCCACTGCCGTAGAGTTTTATGACCCCTCATGGCGGATATTATACTTTTATGCTTGCAGATCCAACTTGGGGTTCATATGCTGGTTATTTGGCGGGTGAAGCTTCACCACATGCATAGTCACCTCAGGTGTAGTTTTCATACTCATCGATGTCGGTCTTTTCGCAGTTTTCACAGTTTTCTATGAGCGGTGGGATAATCAGCCTTACACCTCTATGGTCCTTATTCTATGGAGGTGTTACATCATCATTCATCCCTCAACAACAAAATGTATATGCTCATGATGATGATGATGAGATTGAGGAGGCAGAACAAGTTATACGAAGAAATCCTCATCGACACAAACAACCACCGCCCCGCGGAACATATTCAAGACGCCGACATCGATAGAGTTGTTTACTTCGTTATGTTTTTATTTAATTTTTTTGTTTACCAGCAATTGTAAAGTTTTTATTTAATTATGGACTTTTTATTTATTTTGTTTCTTAATTTTTTATTATTTAATTGTCCGAATTGTTTTTGTTATTTAGTTCTTTTTTTTTAGTTGTATCATTTTCCTGTTTTTAGTTTGTTCGAATTGCTTTTATTATTTAATTTCTTTAGATGCCAATTAATCGGTGATGCTCAAATGAAATTAACTGAAAGTAAATGAAAATTAAATAACAGAAACTTAGATTTCATAAACAACTACATCAATCACAACATCAACAGTTAATTGATGGTGAAAGAGATGAACATTTTTCCTATTGTGTCCTAGGTTTCTACAATGCCCACATCGTTTTTTATGGATGTCTCCCGAATATCCATACCACAATGAATTTGAGTGGATATTGGATGAACGAGCTCCCTCAATAAAGATGGATCTGGTACAATCAAAATCCAATTCTGAACCTTATCAGGGTCTTTCTCATTACCTATGGAGGGAACTCAAATTAATATACCTTAAACATTTCTGAAAGTCGGTATAAGGGATCCACAAAATGGTTATAGTCTTGATAGGTATGTGAGAAAGCTGCTATGATATGAGAGCATGGATACTTTAGAGCTTCAAAAAACCTACAGTCACACCATCTATCTCGTAGATTAACTCTTAACGAGTTAGCTTGAATCCTTGAAGATGTCGCGACATCTCTGTGACACGAAATAATTCATGGGTTCTAGAAAACCTTGTTACAGACATTTCATTTGATGCAACAATTCTTTTTTGTAGATCTATAACTAATCTTGTGTGATAGACATGACCATTTTGCATCTAAGTTTGAGCTTGTCCCTTGAGCTTGGCAAAAAGCGCTCTCAAACAAAAATATGTCGTTTTAACTAAAGCCATTATGGTAAATGGTGTGCCCTCTTTAAGTTCAAATTGATAGCCTCAACCAAGTTGGTCGTCATGTGTCCATATCAATATCCACCATTATATACATTTGTCCACATTTCTTTGTTGATGAAGCTGATGTAATCATATCATTCCTTATTATTTCCTCGCAAATCCTGAAGCATGAACTCAAATGCTTCAGGTAATTGTTCGTAGCCTACACATAAAATGTAACTTACTAACTTTGTTTCCATAAAAAAATGAAAATGATTGAGAAATAAAAAATAGCATTTTGACTTACCCATGCACACAAGTAATTGGCGCTCATCATTTTTCTTGAACCTTCCATGATAGTTAGCATCAATGTGTCGGATACAATATCGATGTTAGACATAGGGTGGTTGCCACATTGGACCCAAATAATCTATTGCTGCTTTGATCCCAGCTCCGCGATATGAAATGACACAAATTGTTTCCCTCGTGACAACATATAAGCATAAGTTTTTGAGGAAAAAAAGCCCAAGATATGTATCTTCTCCTTCAATAAGGGCAAAAGCAACTGGAAGAATGTTGCGATTACCATCTTGGATAATTGCCAATAGTAAAACTTGCTTGTATTTTCCATACAAGAATGTCCCATCGATTTGGACCACGAGCTTGCAGTATTTCACAGCATTAATCACTGTGGGTAAGTCCAAAAATCTGGTAGAATTGGCATCGATTGCGAAGTACTCGATCATTGTAGTATGCATGGTAAGTTTTGAAGTCGAGAATTATCCTAGGATTCAATCTGCGCACTACCTTAAACCAACTTGGTAGTTCATTGTAAGATGCATCTCATTCGCTATGAATATTTTTAATGACATTCTGTTTTGCCTTCCATGCTTTCTTGTATGAGACGGTATACCCATACTACGATTGTATAGATGAAATCAACATCGCAATAGTTACATGAGAGCTTACTTTTACCATAGGCATGACGATTTGGCAGATAATGTCGGAGTCCAAGTTGGGATGATCCTGGTTGATCCCTCCAACACAACATGTGTGAGGATTGTTACTTCCCATATATTGTTTTTTCTCTTCCTCTTCGATACGAGAACCATCCAATTATATCCGTTATCATGTTGGACACAATGGAATACATATTTTTCGGTGGTGGAACGGTCGGCTCTGGATTGAACATAATTACGAATGTTGTAATTCTTAATTGCCATCATCGCTTCTTCTTTGCATGGAAACTTTATTCTTTTATATAACTCACCATCATAACTGATGTGTTAAATCTGTAGTCACCGAAATTAGGCATATCCATAAATTTTAGCACTACATTGCACCATAGTCAACTTCATACATGTGTGTTGGAGGTTCAATGTGTATCATATTTGTGGGAACTTCATCTACATCATCATCATCAGAGTCCATGTTGAACTGTGTGATTTTGGCTGAACGAATAGTCCAGTCTCAGCACCATCCACACCTGGCTCATGAAGAGGTTTTTTCTGGTGGAGATGAGAGTTCCTCCACGGTGTCAAAATTTAGGTCGAACAAGCTGGTAGTTACATGCCTTCCCCTTGAACTTGAAGGCATCTCGACATTGAGGTCGAAGAAGCTCACAGTTGAATGCCTCCCCCTGGAACTTGAAGGCATCGTATCAAATAAGTACTGCACAAATTGTTACGTTGAGGGCATCTCCATATTCAGGTCAAAGAAATTGGCAGATGAATGCCTTCCCCTTGAACTGGACACAATGTTGGCATACAGATTGTTTGTAGTGCCACCTCGGTACAGATCGCAAGAAGTTGCTGATGAATGTCTCCCCATTAAACTTGATGGGATGGCACCATGATGTGGATTTCCCATTAATGAGTTAAAATCATTACACATTACTTGAGTTGGGCTGTCAACTTAATCAGCTTGTTGAGCCAGCCTATAGTGGGAGCATAATGACATACCACGAACAACACACACTTCAACAAATTTTGTATACATCTGTGTATCGGCGTCTGAATATTGATTTTGAGAATCAACCATCATAGCAACATCGTCATCATTGGATAGTTTGAATGTTGTATAAGTTAACGGAAATACTACGGTTGGAAATTTGTACTTAAGTGAGGACAGTCTTCTAGTACTTCTAACATGAACCTTCCTTGAAATTTTCGTTATCATCTCCTCAAGAGTTATGTTTCTCTTGAAGGATATTCTGACATAATGGTTTGATGTGAAGACGACACTGGTTTCGTCTTCCTGAATTTCTCCATCATAGTAAACAATATCTGAAATACGCGTCATTCTGAGTGTTTAAAAGATTGAGAGTCTTATATATGCAAAAAACAATAGCTGAAATAGCCTAATTAAATAAATAGTATATGAATTAAAATATAAAATAATAAAAAATTAAAATTTTCATAATAATTTAAATAATATAACTTTATATTGTTACCGTATCGGCAAAAATGACTCGAGGTATGATCACACTTTCCAATTTTACAACTACACAAAATAATTAGTACACAAAATAGAAGAAATTGATAAAACAAAAATAAGCAAATAATTTTGATGCGATGATGTTTGCATAGAGGGGTTCTTATTATAGGGGAGATGGAGGGTTTAAATGACGAACTGCTCGGGTGGTACTAATAATGAAAGACGAATCATTATTCACACCTTACGTACGCGTGTCAGAAAACCCTGGAAGGTGCGGATAGTGATCTACGCCTGACTTGACGTGGCACCAGCACAAACCCCGCAAAGGCACGGATGACGATCTGCGCCTTGTCATAAAGGATGCTAGATCAGTAATATTAGGAGAAATGATGCTTGACATGTAATTATTACCTGTACGGGTGATATTTCGATAAACTCATCTTACATTTAAACTCATATTTAATAATGGGAATTTGGCACTTTACTTTTATATTTATAATTTTTTCCTTTAAATTTAAATCTATAACATTTTGATTATTTATATTATTGATTGTTATATTTTAATTATTAATCTATTAACTCAAGTTAGTTTGATGATGTAAAATGATAGTGAAAAGTGTTAACTTTTAATTTGAATATCAAACTTTAGAAAAAAATATTAATTTGATCTTAAATTTTAGATGAAATATCATTTTGACATCTAAAATTTAAATAAATTACAAAATTAACCATAAAATTCCACTAGAGTCTCCTATTACCGAACATCACTCACCACTATTGTCGTCGGTCGGCATTGGCATTGTCACCGAGTATTGGACCCCAAAACATTCAACTCACTTATGTTTTAATATTTTGAATATAAATCTGATATCTGTTTCATAAGGATAAATTTTGAACTCAACAATTCTAACCTATAACTCCTCAAATTCTTTAAAATTGACCATAATAATAAATTTATCATTAATATTCTTTTAAAAATAAGAATATTAAAAAAATTAAATTTATATCATAATAAAATTAAAAAAAATTGTTTATAATATTGTTATATTATAATTTTTTGTTCTTTATGATATTAATTATAATTTTTTAATATTTATAATTATAATATTATTTTATAAACTTTTAATCTTTAAACTATAATACTATTCATTATCTTATATATTTCTGTTATATATTTTGTTAGACACTTTCGATGACAAGTACTCAATGTTTTGATAGGAAAGTAAATTAAAAATTTCAGCTCCTAGAAATTCAGTCTAAACAACGATTGCGAATTATTTTATTTTATAATATTTATATTAAAAAATTCCTCACCGTTTTCAAAAATTAGCTTTAATTTTATATTAATTCATTTTAACATTATAAATATTATAAAAGCACAGTAAATTTAAACTCTAAATCGTGTCTATTGTATATTTTTCTTTACATCATTCCTTAAAATTTTCAATTGATCAATTCATCTTGTCTTGACACTTTTTTGATTGATCGATAGAGCAACAAAAATCCCAATAATAACTATTTCTTTGCGTACATAAAAAATATAAATATTATAAAATTATATAACATCTACATATATATATATATAATATTAAAATTTGTCTCAATTTTATTTATAAATATTTTTTTATAAAGGAGACTAATTTTATTTAAAATAGGAAAATCCAAATTACAATAAAGATTTATAATCACAATCATAAATTAAGCACATAATTAGGAAAATTTCCTATAATCAATGAAACAAAACTAGTAACTTAAGATCACATAAGAATCATACAAGGAAATATTAAATCTAACCAAGAAACTCGAACAAAGATAGATACAAACAAATCTGATCGCATCGGCAAACTAACCACAAAAGGATATCAAGCTATTGAAAGACCATCGACAAACCGCAAATCAGACTCAAGTTTTGTGAAAAGCTATCTACGAACGCAACTCGAGTATCCAAATCCAATCCGAGGGTCCAAAGCAAGGAAGATCACAAGATATCAGATAAGTGACATCTTGATCAGTCGTGATGATGTCAAATCAATCCTTAAAAAAAGATAAATAAAAACGGCCAAAGAACAAAAAAATGCCAAAAACATAAGAAAACATGGCATAAAGGCAGATGAAAACGTGCAATACATGCATATTTATTGAAAATAAAATAAAATAAAATAAAGATATAATATAAAAAAGAAAATAAAGAATACAGACAGTCGGCAACTAACATTAAAGTTGATGTCGTCATCGATTAACAAAGATGAAAAAAGAAGAAGAGATGAACGGTACACAAATGAGAGAAAACTAGGTTTTTAGGGAGTTTTAGTAGCTTAGATTTTTAGTTTCGTTTTTATAACTATTTATAAATATTAAAGATTATAAAAGGTTATGTTATAATTTTAATATTTTATAAATTATAAAATTATTTTATATAATTTTAATATTTAAACTAACAATATCATAAACACTTTTATATATTTTCATTATATATTTCGTTAGATACTTTTGGTGACCAGTACTTAATATTTTAATAGAAAGATAAATAAGTTTGAAATTTCAGCTCCTATGATTTGATCGTAGTAATCACAAAAATCAATCTCAATGCTTCACCGTTCACAACTGTCAAATAAATTATTTTATGATTGTGAATTAATTTACTTCATGATATATTTGGATAGAAGCTTCATCATCATTTCTAAAAACTAGTATTGATTTTATAATAATTCATTTTAATATTATAGATATAATAAAATTTTAATAAATAAAATTATAAATGATAAATTCATAAATTTTGTAGAATTATAATTATTTTATTTTATTTTTAATTAGTAACTTATCGACTTAGATAACGAATATTTTCTGGTTAGATTTGCCTTGGAGAATGACTATCAGAATGTTGTATCCGGAGGCCCTTGGATGATTTATGGGAGCTACCTGACAGTTCAACCCTGGTCTAGACAGTTCTCTACAGCCGAAGATCACCCTCAGATGATACTTGTTTGGGTAAGACTTCGCGGACTTCCTTATCGTTACTACGCAAAGAGTCTCTTTAGAGCTATTGCAGGTGCTTTGGGAAAGATAGTTAAGATCGACTATAACACGACTGAAGGCAAGAGGGGAAGTTTTGCGCGTCTTGCAATTGCTGTTGATTTGGGGAAACCATTAACTCCAGGATTAATGATAGATGGGAGCTATCAGGGGTCGAGTATGAAGGTTTGCCAACGATATGCTATACTTGTGGTAAATATGGCCATATTAAGGAAGCTTGTGTTTTGAATGCGTCGGATGGCAAGGAAGCTACGACCAATGCTATTGAAAATAGCAAAAACAATGTTAACACTTATGGGCCTTGGATGCAGGTTCCCCAGCGAAAGAGGAGGCAGCCTCTAAACACGAAAGCGGGACGCGTTGACGGTAACGGTACAGACAAACAAAAGAGTAGTGGGGCAGCCGTTTTGGTGCGTTGGCTGATCAAGAAAGTGAGCAGGCCGAACAAAGGGTTGAATCGAAGCAAATTGGTGGAGAATCGGGGAGCAAAATTAATGTTGACAGTGGAAAAGGTGCTATGTATTCTGGGGTTCAGGATGTAGGAACAAGTTCCACGAGCAGATCCGTCTCTAATTTGTTTAATCAAGTGCGATGTGAAGTGCCGCTCAGTAAGCCGTGACGTACAGAAGAACCGAAACAGCAGGTTGTTGCGGGTGGGGATGTCACAAGGAATGAGAATAGGAAGGAGGTTAGGACGGAATTTGTTGTGGTTAATAATTTAGAAAATTCAGTCCAGCTTCGTGCGATGGATACGAATGGAAAACACACAGTCATTAATATTGAGGATGAGATTCGGAGAAGAATTCTTACGGAAAATAACGGACGACCATCAAGGGGTATTAAGAATGGCTCAAGTTCAAAGAAAGGGGAGCAATTCATGGCAGCAGCGAGGGGCTGAACGAGGAAGGGGCTAAAGACGAAAATGAAAGAGTCTAGAGGTCCCCTAAGCCGTTGTTGGCTGATTGGATGGATGCAATGGGAAAGGAGCTCAATGTGAAGAATGTACATGCGGCTTCTAGTAGTGCCAATGCGAACCAAGGTCCTAGTGTGGAAATTCAGTGGAGACCGAATGCTGCTTTTGAGAATGTTTCTGGGATGGATGAATTCGCATAAGGTTGGTTTGAATTTCCCTTTATCTTCCTTCTCTATGGTTAAAATCATCTTTTGGAATACTCAAGTTGTGTTAGGCCTTCCTGTCAAACGATACTTCAATTGATTTTAAAACAATATCACCCGGATATTGTGGCGATTATGGAACAGCGTGTTGGTGGAATCCAAGCTGATAATTTCATCAAGAAGTAGGGTTTTGATGCATCCTTCCGGGTTGAGGCAAATGGTTTTTCCGGTGGTATTTGGATCTTATGGAAAAATGGGATTGAATTAGATTTTCTGGTGGCTTCTAATTAGTTTATTCATGGTTTCTGTATGGACAAAGGTACATCGAAGAATTTCTTTATTACTTTCGTTTATGCGAGTCTGGATAGTAGCAGACGCAATCGGGTTTGGGGTCAATTAAAAGCTTTGGAACCGAAAAATAATGAACCTTGGATCCTTGGAGGTTATTTCAACGCAATTAGTAATTCCAATGAGAGGCAGGGTGGATCTATTAGAAGATCCGAAGTTTGTACTAAATTTTGTAACTTTCTCTTTCTATCGGTGTAATATCCAAAATTTTGGTTACTGACCAAAATGTAAAATTTGAAAGTTTGGTGGACAAAGTAGGAAATTAGGAAAAGTTTAGGGACCTAAGTGGTAATTTTCTCAAAAATAATTTTTATTCCATAAATGGATAGTTTACTCTTGAGAGTGGGGTTTTATTGAAATCAAATTCCTGTGTGGAAATTATGTTAAAAACTAGAAAGTGTTAAAGTCCTGTAAAAATTCGGTAAATCGGATCGAATAGAAAATTTGAAGGATAATAAATTAAGCTTAGAAATATTATTTCCACTTATTAAAATAATGGGAAATAATATGAACCATTGGATTTGAGAAAATTATTTCCATGTTCAATTTGGACCGTTGGATGAAAAATGACAAGATTGAAATTTTGGAAAGATTGCATGGGCAAAGTTGTAAAGGGTGAAATATTTTGTCCATCTTTAACTTTGGAAGATGATAAGGGTTATGTGGCTTGGTATTATGGTAAATTTCAAGTTTCATTAATGGTAAAATGGACATTTCACATTAAATGAATTTTTAATTCATTTAAGCTTAAATTAAGGCCAAATTAACATGAAATGAAGTAAAAATTTCATGAAAATTTAGCCATTTTCAGATCCATTTCGTGCTCCCCATGAACAAGGTAAGAGAAATTTTATTTTTCATTTTTGAGCAATTTCCTTTGGATTTTGGATCATGCAGTGAAATAGAAAATTGTTCTATTTGAAAAACGCTATCATTTGGTACCATTATTGTTTGCTAATTTGATTTGTGTTCAAAGATCCCAAATTCTAGGGTTTATGGAATAGATGAAGGATTTTGATGTTATTGAGGTTGTAGAATCATTTCCAAGCAAGATCGAATATTAAAATCACTTGTACATGATTATATGAAAATACGAAGATTCGGCCTAACCCTAGTCTTGGGAAAAAGATGTGTTTTGATGAAATTAAGTTAGGGTTTTCATTGTAGAGATTTTATAAGGTTGAATCGACGTTGATTTCATTCTTGAATCGAATCAAAATTGAGTAAAATCATGAAAACCCTAATCTTGAACATACAAAGCATTTGGTAATGACTATAGAGGATGAGAAAAATTATGGAAAAATTATGTAGGTGCTGGAAATTATGTAGGCAGTATTCTACCAACCTTAGAAAAATTTGGGGACCATTCTATAAATTTATGAAAGTTGGGGACTGAATTGACAATTTTGAAAAAGTTGTGGATTGTTGTGTAATTGTTCAATGGTTGAGTGTTGAAATTGAAGTCAGGATGTGAAATTGGAAAGCTTGTAAAAGTTGAGGTTTAAATAAAAAATATGGAAAGGTTGGGAGCTTAAGTGAAAATGTTTTGTGAAGTTGGGATAAAAGGAACTTGAGTGGTCAATTATAAGTATTAAGGTCAACATTTTTGTTGTGGCATGGAAATTGTATCGAAAAAGCATAGGAAAATTTGTTAGGAATTTATTTTACAAAGTACGCCTATGTTAGTAAGATTCTAAAATTTGGTTTGAATTTGTATATGTTTGGTAATGATGTTCATTTAGAGATTGAGTGCTTGAAATCAATATCAAATATTATTAAAGCTAAGGAGAATCTTAAGGATGAAATGGGAAATTCTAAGGAAGGTTGCATGCTAAGGACACCATGTGAGTACAAATTTAATTTGTACTTATGTTTTTGAACAAACATTGGCTTGCGATGAGACAATGACAGATTTAATATTTTAAGGAGTGACTCCTAAAATGTTATGTGATTTGTGATGCATGCATATATGTGCATTTGGTGAGCTAATAGAATTAGTGAACAAGTTGAAAATGTAAATTGGTGAAATCTGCTTAGAATTTATGTTATCGACAGTAAGTTTAGAAAATCACTATAAATTCTAAAAATCTGATTAGAGAATGATTTTTATACCGTTGGATTAGTATATAAGACTAGTTATGTTTAGAACAAACGAAAACTAATTCCAAGTTGTATAAAAAAATTTATGAATTTTAATCGAGGATAGGTCAGAAAATGGGTAGTAGATTCTGCTCAAAATAGATTCTATCGGTCAACTTTGAAAATTCATCATAAATTGTACAAATTGAAATAGAAGGAATGACTTATATTATTAAATTTTTATTTGAGTCTAGTTTCTAGTGGTACGAATGGAATAATTTTTAAATGTGTATATTAATACATAATAATATTTCTTTAAAGGTAGTGCAAACTGTCAGAACATAAAATAATGACAATTTTTGGGATTTACCAAATTAAAAGCAAATGATCAAGTTAAAGCTTAGTGAGGCTTATATTTTGACTTGTATATAATGTCAAAATGAGTGCAATGCATGAATAACACTATACATGGATGTTTTATACATCATCAGGCAGGACTTGCGATGAGTCTACCTTATTCACATTGGTATGATATTTATGTCATTTATCATAAATTTGACATATTCTAAATATGTCAAAGGTTCAATATAAAATGCATTGATCACTGGTCGTTACATATGATGTTTATCATGAACATATATGATATTTATCATGAATGATATTTCAGGTATGAACTGCCCAATGTTAAATTATGATAATATACATTGCCATGGATGGATCAAATAAAATAGATTGTATGCCCAAGTAAGTTAATGAAGCACAGGGTGTAATTGGCATGTCATAGAGTCCGGCAGCTGCAAGTATATATTAGCACTAGTGTGTAAGGACATTTAGTGCAACACTATAGTGTGTAAGGGCACTAAGTGCATATGGTGGGCACGACCTTATGTGTATTATGGTAGGCACGACCATATGTGTATTAGCACTTCGGTGCATATTTGACTCGAATACCCAAGGTCTTCAAAGGTTTACATTTGGGGTATAGTTTATTAGTTAATAAATGGTAAACAGACAAATAAGCTTACGAGCTTGTGGAATGAATGACAAGTATATTGGTAAGAAACTTGATATTCGGTTATATCATGTTAATATATGGTAACATGGTTGGAAAAAGGTAAAGTGATCATATTGCATTGAATATGGTTATTCATTTAAATTTATGTGTTGCATTGATTTAAATATTCATATGATTGCCTCACTAAGTGTATACTTAGCGTGTGATGATTTTCACGCGTATGAAAAAGAGGAAAAGGAGTAAGGAGATGAGCATGGCATCAATCACCAAGGAAATATTTACAGGTAGCACTGATTACATCCTATTGTGTTCTAAAAGTTCTAGCAGACATGTTAATGAGAATGAAATGTCTACAGTTTCTTAATATATTCAGTATTAAATATAATTAAAAGTATGAATAAATATTATCATATTAAACTATGCTTAAAGAAAAAAATTAATTTTGGTTTTAAATCATACGTGTTAGATAATCTTATTTATTTTATGAAACAGAGCATAACTGTCTATCACTGCTTGAAACTAGTTTTGAATTGGTAACCAAAAATATTATATTATGATTTTTCTCTGAATAATTATTTTATAATAATTGTTCAAGTTATGAAATTGGTGATGTTTGAATAAAACCAAAATTTTACTTAGTTCAATTAAAGAAATGTTTTGAATTTCTGATGTGACATCTGTAACTCGTATTGATTCGTGTATATGGGTTATGGGTGTTATATTTATTGATATCAGAGCTATAGGTTTAGCCAATTCTAGGGTTGATCCGAGCTTTTTTTTGTGTCAAAAAGTATATACATGCCACTAGGATGTCATTGTTATTTATTTGGTGATTATAGGGTTCGATTGTTGCCACTCCTTACTAATGAAAGTGGATAAGTGTAGTGTATATATAAGATGTGTATAATCAAGGGTTTGAAGTTAGAAATCAAACATGATGTTTAAAATAATAATAGTAATAGTAATAGTAATAATAATAATAATAATAATAATAATAATAATAATAATAATAATAATAATAATAATAATAATAATAATAATAAGCTAATAATGATATTAATGTCGTTAGCCACAATTCTATTGTTTAGTCTAATAAGATGATATATTGGCACAATAGGAAGTGCCAATGTTGGATTAAGGAAAACCCTCGTTTATGCATAAGTATAGTATTGTTGAAAGAATGAAACATTCTGCTACAATTGATCCTAAGTGATAGGTGTGCAATTAACCTTTTTGGTCTGAGTGCGAGGGTGAATCGTATTTGTAGGCATTAATTGCATGGTAAGGATTCAACATGTTATTTATAATAGACTTGATAGAATTACCTTTAGAAGGTAATT